TCTTATTTTCTTTCTTTAAAAACCACTTTAACTAATAAAAATGTAAGAAATAATTTTTTCTTCCTAATCTCAATTTATAAATTAAAATAGAATAACTTCATTTACGCTTTTAACGTACAATATATGTCATATATAAGATCATAGTAAATATGTCATTAATTTTTATTTAGATTACGATAAAATATAATTATGATATATATTTTTTTAAATCGAAATTGGATAAACATTTGCTAATAAAAAAATATTTATTAGAAAAGAATGTATTCAAAAAATAAATAAATTATATATTTATTTGGAATAAGGTATTTTTTACCCTTTAAGTAATAAGGGCATATTTTGACCAAAGTATTGACGATAAGATTATTTCGGACCGTAGTATAAATGGAGGGCATTTTTGTTCATTTCACACATTTTAAGAGAATTTTGACCATTATCCGTAGAATATATAATGTAGTTTGAATAGTTAATGAGAAAGGCGATGCAAGCAATAGAGCGTACTCATGTAATCTCAAGTAAATGATAATCTCTAATTTTAATTACTTATATAACTACCTTTTCACCTAAAATTAAGTTTTTTACGTGATAATTATTAATTAATCTAATTGGTGATTAGCTAACCCATGAGTGTTTATGTAATTAGCACTAATAACAATATCATTGAAGTAGGTATTCATTGTAGAAGATATGTCACGAACCAAATTTCGGGTAAGTGATGGCACCCTACAAGAAATTCATTTAAAGTGAAAAAACACAAAAATAACAATTAAAAAAATATGGAGAGTTTCCAAGTCGTGTTCATTAGCACTAACTCCAAGACTCGTACAGATTGGAAGAAAACATATTTGTGTTTACCTTTTTGCATTCTTCAATTTTTTTCGTCAAGTTATATTTGTTAGTTATTTTATCCCCAATATATCAAAAACATATTATATATGTAAACACCAGGACATCGATAACCATATCACCATATAAAACATTTAGGTCAATTTCGAGTTAAGTGTCAACCCTGGAAACCAAATAAAAAATGAAAATTTTCTTTCAAAATTAACTTACACATATGACAAAGAACTCAAATACGAGATTGAGTACAACAGGCCCTCAATTCGTCAAATCGATTAAAAAATTCTTCAGCAAAAAAATCCCAATTTCAATTCCACAAAGAATGATTTAATCCTAAAATCCACGATAAGATAGTGAGGAAATATCTATTAAGTGATTAGGAGCTTACCTTCTTTCAACAAAGAAAGAAATACCACCAAGAATCGTCTCACCTAGAAGTCCAAAAATGGTGGAAATGGGTGAAAGACCAATGAAAATCACTGTTTAGTTGTTGAACTATGTTTGTCGGAATCACTCTCTAGTAGAACGATTGCGCAAGACAAAAACCTCAGTTGCCTCCCTCTTGTGAGATTGTGCACCCCCTCTCTACACCAATAAAACTAACCATGAGGCTTCCCTTTTGTGCCATTGCGCTTGGACTTGCACAAAATATCATAAATATCAATTGTGCTCTGAATAAATGATGCAAGTTGATCATAAAACATGTTCCGAACCTGTTGGAATAATCAAATCACCATTTAAAGATTGTCTCGATCAAATATTGATTGTGGTAAACTCTAGATTTAAGAAATCCAAGATTCCCTTCGAACAGTTTAAATCATTCTTGGGTGCTTTGGACCTTTGCAAATTATCCACCAAAGTAACAAATCACCCTTTCGGCGTAGTGTAATTGTCAGAATCTGAAATTTACTTTGTTACCCTATATGTTGACTTAAGTCAAACTTCCTTAGTTCCAAACTTTAAAAACTGAAAAATTTCTCCAACACACACATTCAATCACTCTGTTAATCGTGTTACCCATACCCGGAGGTCAAAAATAACAAACTAAGGCTATGGAATGGGTCAAATTGGAGAAAATAAGCAAAAAGAAATGCAAAATGACATAGCCGATCATTACAATTACCTCATAATTAATGTGTTAATTACAATGATTATCAAAAGTTAACATGTATAATCTTTTTTCTTTAGAAAATTATGGTACCTAATCAAACTCAATGTAGCTAAGAACATATATACTACTATAGTTTGCAATCTATAAGGTAGAGAGAGAATCACTTCTCCCTAACATCTTGTCCAAATGATGAGAATCAATTTAGCTATGAAGCAAGCTTTTTATTTATAAATAGAGCCATTAGGATTTAGTTTTCTTGTAAAATTTCATTTACAACCAATAGATTTTGAACCAGGAGGTAAATCAGTCAAATTCTGTACGACCCAAGGGTACCCCTAAGACGTAACATGGAACATAGGACCCCGAAAGGCACCATGTAAGCCAATTAGCATATCATAACATAAGTAAAGAACAATGGAGAGTAAAAACACATTTTTCAAGTCTTAAGAATTTTTTCATAAAAGCAAAGCGGAAGACTAGACATTGTCTCAATTAGCCATTTGTTACACTCGAAGTCTCAAATAGGGTCACAACCCTTACAATAGGAATCCAAAAGTCTAATACAATGAAATAAAAGGAACAACAAGATATCAATCGTCCTTAGATCCATGAGGACTCACCACTAGCTAGGAGAATAGTCCATCCAATCGTTTGCACAAGAAAGAGATCAGCTCAATGACTGGAACCTACACTTATAGAAAAATGTAGACGAAATAAAGGTTAGTACAAAAATGCACCAAGTATGATAGTCATGCAAGAAATCATTGAAAATATGCTAAAAAGTACATTTTGGTTGAAAACCATGCATTTTACCAAGTTTGAACTCATCATGCATACATTGGAAATTATAAGTCATAAACCATATTGTCATTCATAGATCATCATATCATAATAACAACATATTATAAGTACTATCAAAGTCTACTTGTGCAATGCATGAGTAAGATCCCATACTCCTACCCATACTAAGTAAAGTTTCTTGAGTATCTATGGTCTATAAATTATCTTCTTGTCCATATCAACATATTTAGGGAATAAGCCTTAATCGACATAGACCATATGAGCTAACATGTAATCCAGTGTCTACCCCACACCGAAAAGGCATGTCCTACTTGCCTAAGGTAGAACCATACTCTTAGCTTAGGTGGATCCACTAGCTAAACACCTATGCGGGCACATAGTTATGGGATAAATGATTGCTAATAGAAATCCAACCTCAACTAGCGGAAGAGCTCCCATCCTAAGAGATTGCTATTAGGAAAACCCAACCTCAACTAACGGAAGAGCTCCCATCTCATATCAATATCCTCTCGGTTCAAAACATTGATTCCCACAGTTTACATATTAATTCTTGACTTAAAGTTCATAATCATGGAATAATGTCTTGACAATCAATCCAACTTAATGTCATACTATAACTCCTAGATTCATTAGGTGCGAGTAGTCTTCCAACCTTAAAATCATCATATGTGACTAACCTTTCACATCATATCATATTCATACATAAATGTGTTCATGAGGATAACAACCCAACACAACAACTAAATCATGATCATATTCACTTTTCTCTCACAGTGTTCTTATGGCCCTTACATAGCCCGCCCTCATAATCATGCATAATTCACATATCTTGCCTTTCAAGTGCACAAGCCATCAACACATCCTGAAATACTAAAATAGACATGAATGATTACATGATTCAAGTAACCCAACTATAATAAATATAATCTCATATCAATCCTTTTAGAATCAACAATTCACATCATAAGATCCAAATTTGGGAAATTAGGGATCGATTTCATGGGTTCTTGGGGGAATTCATCATAAATCAACAATTAAAAACGTTTTTGGAAAGAACTCACCAGATTGAAGTCAAACCCTAACTTTGGAGAAATCCCTAGTTCTGAAACTCAATTTGGAGGGACTCCTTGGATGGAAATTATCCAAGGATGAAAGAATACCATACCTTAGTAATGATTCTTCAAAGAAATTGAGTGAAATAGCCTTGATTCTTCAAGCCCTAGCTCCACTTTCACTCTTCTTCTTCCTTGAGTTTTAGAGAGAGAAATATTGTGTAGAAGATGAACCTTTTTTATTTGATTTGGGTGTTTGTGAAAAATGACTTAGTTTAGGTGAATTTGACTTAAAAACAACTTATATAATGACCCTAAACTTACCCAAAATGACCTCACACTGATCATGTTGCACTCCGCTACCTGATGGCGAAGAAAGATGCAAAACAAAGATTGATAAGGTGGGTGTTACTATTACAATAGTTTGATTTTGAGGTTAAAGATTGAAAAGGTTGCGAAAATCAAGTGGCCGACCACTTGTCGAGGTTGGAAGGAAGGGAAGATGCCGAGTGTGAGTTCGACATAGACGACTTATTCCCCGACGAATAAGTGTTTTCTATATCTCGCAAACCTACACCGTGGTATGCAGATTTTGCAAATTACATTGTGAGTGGATTGAAGCCGGATGAGCTGGCCTTTTACCAACAAAAGAGATTCATGTTCGACGTTCAAAAGTACTTTTGGGATGAACCATACCTGTTTCGAGAATGTTCTGACCATGTTATTAGGAGGTGTGTTGCAGAAGAAGAAGCGGTAGAGATTCTTCATGCTTGCCATGCATCTCCAGTGGGAGGGCACCATAGTGGTATTCTCACTTCCGCTAAAGTTCTCCAAAGTGGTTATTACTGGCCGTCCCTATACAAGGATGTGCATGAATTTGCGAAAAAGTGATCTCAATGTCAGTAGCAAGGCGGAGTATCTAGACGGCACGAGTTGCCTCTCAATCCTATTTTGGAAGTCAAGCTACTCGATATGTGGGGAATAGATTGCATGGGCCCATTCGTGAGCTCTTTTGGAAATAAATACATCTTGGTGGCTGTGGATTATGTCTCCAAATGGGTGGATGTCATCGCACTCCCAAACAACGAAGGAAAAAGTGTTGTCCAATTTCTGAAACGCTACATCTTCGCAAGATTTTGCACTCCTAGGGCGATTATTATTGATGGGGGTTTCACTTTTGCAATAGGTGGTTTTCAATGGTGCTGCGCAAATATGGGGTGAAACACAAGGTAGCAACCCCATATCATCCACAAACAAGTGGCCAAGTCGAAGTGTCAAATTGGGATATCAAAAGCATCCTGGCAAAGACAGTAAATGCCAACAGAACTGACTGGTCCAGGAAACTCGATGATGCACTATGGGCATATCGGTCCGCTTACAAAACAAATATCGGTATGTCTCCATATCAGTTCGTTTATGGTAAGGCTTGTCATTTTCATGTCGAGCTTGAACACAAAGCATTGTGGGCATTGAAAGCTCTAAATATGGACTGGTCCAAAACTTCAAGGGAGAGGGTGGAGCAGTTGAACGAACTAGATGAATTTAGACTCAGATCGTATGAAAGTTCAGCTATCTATAAAGACAAGATGAAGAAATGGCATGATGATAGGATACTCAACCGTGACTTCAAGGTAGGAGATTGGGTTTTGTTATACAACTCTCGACTTAGACTTTTTCCCGGAAAGCTCAAATCCAAATTGTCTGGACCATTTAGAGTAACGTGAGTATTCACCAATGGTTCCATAGAAGTTGAAGATCAGGAAGGACCTCCATTTAAAGTGAACAGGCAACGTCTGAAATTATTTATTAGGGATTGTCAAGAGATTTCTTTGGTTGAAATGGTGTATTTGGAAGACGCTTGAAGGCGCTGCTGCATCGTGCCACGACGTTAACTAAGGCGTTGTTTGTGAGGCAACCCAAAACCCTTTATTACTTTAGGTTGCTTTGATAAAATAATAGTGTGTTGATTGTGCAGATAGAAGTGTGGAAAGTGAATGAAAAGCACAAAATGGCGAGCAATAGGTCTAATCAGTGAACCGCCGAACGGTTCGGCGACTCCAAACTAGGTCGGGGCTAGACTTAAGATCATCTTGCATTGGAGTCTGTAAAACTCGGCGATCACAGGAAATTATTGGCGCACCACCGATCGTGTCAGCGACCCCGATAGAGACCGCTGTTTGGACTCCCACACAACATGGAGGTTCTATAAACTTCGGTGGGCCAAATGACTATTTGGCGTTATGCCAAAAAGATCAGCGATTGGGACTAATGTCATCGAACGGGCAAAAGATGGATGGTTTTGCAAGCCAAAGGTTTAAAAGTTTCAACTTCATTCACTCTCCCTCACTTTTTATCTGTCCAAACTCACACCCACACATCGGACACTGATGCCAAGTCAGATGGAACGACTGTTTAGACATGATTCCCTCATTTTCGCCCTCTCTATTTTTCTTTAATTTACTTTCGGATGTTTGTTATTTGCATATGAGGACAAAATGTTTTTATTTGTGGTGGGGTAAGGCCCATCTTTTGTGTTGATATTTGTGTTTTCGTGTTTATATTTGGGTTATTTCGTTTAAATTGTTTTATCTGCTTTCTGTCGATGATTGAGCTTATGGCTCCTTTTGTTTTTAATTGCAAAATTATTTTGACCCTTCTGAATTTTTTTAAATTTTTCGCACATTTTTGCCACCAGCTATATGCTCTTGAATGTGGCTGTTCTTTTGCAAAAATTTGAGTCTCGCTTCCAATCAATAACAATGAATTGAATAGTGCTCTCAATTGAATGAACATGAATGTATGGCTACGATGAGGCCAAATGAAGTTGCATAAACAATATGTGAACTATTTGCCTCTCGTTATCACTAGTCTAGTATCAAATTGATTCTCTTATGATGATCATTGCACACTAGCAAAAGTGTGGAGTCTTGTTTGACTGTAGTGTCAATGCCTACTGTGATGAGCTTACTTTGAACCATGCATGATAGATCCTAGAATTTGCCCTGTTGGTCCGGTCCATTGAGTGATGATATCTCTTGATATGATCTTAGGCAATTTCGAAGAGTATGAGCCAATTTGACGTATAACTCTTTTGTGACCTACCTTGTGAGTGTGTGATTCTCTCTTGAACACCCATTGAGCCTTAACTATCTTTGGAAGAAACTTGATGAAAACTAGACCTTTCTTAATCCATCACCCATAATCCTCATGAAGTTATGGTTAGTTGAATAGCCAACTTATGCCAAAAGCCTAAGTTGGGGTGTGTGGAAAAGATAGCGGCAAGTCAAGAAGTGCAAGCGAAGTCTCCTCTTACCCATGATTGTGAGAAAAATGGAACCCCTCTATATAAAAAAAAGAAAGAGAAAAAGACAGGAAAGAAAAATAATGAAAAAGAAAAGTTGTGGAATAAAGTTGAAAAATGAAAGGGGTTCATAACAATTCATGGGAAGTGAATAATAGGATGACTCATGAGCACTAAAGAAAATGATGAAGGGAAAGGGAAGGAAGTGTTTTGAGCACCACATCTCATGAGGATGAAAGTCACTGATCCTAAATGACCATACCTTTGCACTCATCCCCATTATAAGCCTTGAAAAGACCTTTTTTGATCTTAAGTGAGCTGAAACAAATGTTGATTGTAAAATACGGACAAACCTATGAGTGAAATCATGTATTATGTTCTTCTTTGTGAGTGTGAGCGTTGCATCTGAATCTGAAGCTTTAAACTATGAAACCATTGTGTGAATATGGAATCATTCTTTGTGTGCTGTGAATATGGGATCATTCTTTGTGTGAGGGAATTTTAACACTATAGTTGAGCTTGAACTTGCATTTGAAACAAGTGTTGTGAGCATGAGATTCGTTGATATTGGTGA